GCCCCTTAGAGTGCAGGAGTACTTTTCTGGGTGGTTTACGAACAGTTAAAACGAACGACACAGAGCTAAATACAACATAAATACCAAAAACGTAGTCTAAAATTATTCTACATTGGGAACAGGGCAAGAAAATAGGTCTTCTCTAAGGTTGCCATCCACCAAACCTCCAGAAAAGAGGGGCGTTTGTGTATATATATGTATATATATATGTATATATGTGTATATGTTTATGTATATGTATATGTATATGTATATGTATATGTATATGTATGTGTATGTGTGTGCATGTGTGTGTATACATGTATATAAAGGTAAAGGTTCCCCTTGACAATTTTTGTCCAGTCGTGTTCAACTCTAGGGGGCGGTGCTCATCCCCGTTTCCAAGCCATAGAGCCAGCATTTTTGTCCGAAGACAATCTTCCGTGGTCACATAGCCAGTGTGACTTAGACACGGAACGCTGTTACCTTCCCACCAAGGTGTCTACTCGCATTTACATGCTTTTGAACCGCTAGGTTGGCAGGAGCTGGGACAAGCGATGGAAGCTCATTCCGTCACATGGATTCGATCTTATGACTGCTGGTCTTCTGACCCTGCAGCACAGGCTTCTGCGGTTTAGCCCGCAGCACCACCACGTCCCTGTATACAAGTATATACACACTTATAAATATACATATATACATATATACATATATATGCATATACTGTATATGTATATGTCTATGTATATGTATATATGTGTGTGTGTGCATGTGTATATGTATACACACACACGTACATATAGATATATATAATATGTGTTATACATATACACTTATACATATATTTTGGCACAATGTCTAGAAACATTATTAAACAGATGAATGAACAAACAGTATATTCAAGAGTGAGTGTTCAGGGAGCTTGTTAAAGTAATAGAGGTTTTAACAGGTTTACATGGCTTTTTAACTGTTGGAGTTTTAATAATGTTACAGTTTGTTTCTTTGCCTTTTAACATGACTTTTTTAAAAAAAATCTGTAGCTGGCTTAAGTAAATTTAAATTTTACTTTTATGTGTTTTAATTTTGTTGTGAATGACGGGGTGGCCCCAGCTCTGGGAGAAAGACATGATAGAATTTAAATAAATAAATGCATTTAAATGCCCAGGTTTCCAAGTCATAAGGATTTTGAAGGTTACGTCAGCGCTTATTTGAGCATCTAATTTAGAGTTGTAAAATATCCAAAATAATCTTTTTTTTTTTAATTTCAAGGAAAAAGAAACAGAGAAAAATGTTTTATTCAGAAAAAAAATGGGAATTTTTGGACATTTTGCATCTCTAAAATTCAGTGATATCAAACCTTGAGTCCCCAAACGTTCTTGGACTAAAACTCCCAGAAGCCTTCACCACCAGCTGTGCTGGCCAGGATTTCCGGGAGTTGGAATTCAAGAACAACCGGGGGCCCAAGGTTGGGAAGCATTGATCTTATAAACCTTTCTCTCTTTGTTGCAAAAATATAAAATAAACTAATAATAACTGTACTCCCAAGTATTCTTAATGGTTTTTCTTTTCCATCCCACATACAGGAAATGAACGGAATGGCCTGGACTTCAGCAGGCAGGTAATATCCATCAACCTGATTTCAAATATTTTTGTTTCCCCCTTGTTGTTGTTTTCATATATTCCAAAGAGATGTTGAAGCTGCAGAATGAAGGGACAAGCCTTTTTCTTGCTGAGATATCTGAATAATAGCACTTTCCAAAAACTTGAAAGGCTGTCATGCAGAGGAGGGGCGGGATTTGTTCTTGATCATCCCAGAGTGCAGGACACGTAATGAAGGGCTTAAACTACAGGAAGCCAGATTTAGGCTGAAAATCAGGAAAAAACTTCCTAACTGCTAGAGCAGTACGACAATGGAATCGATGACCTTGAGAGGTCATGAGCACCCCAACACTGAAGGCCTTCAAGAGAAGACCTCTGTCAGATCTCCTTCGGTTTGTATTCCTGCCTTGAGCAGGATGTTGGACTCAATGGCTTTAGAGGCCCCTTCCAACTCCATAACTTCATGATTCTATAATTCGATGTGGGATCCTTCTGCACCCACAAGTCCATCATTCAATTCTTCAGTAGCTTACTCTTCTCCTGGTGAACGGGTGACATTTTCCCACCCACCACCCCAAGTTCTCAAATCCCAGCAGGCCTTCCGCTGGCATCGCTCAGGAGAGTTGGAGTAGATCTCTAAGATTCCTTCCAGCTCCAAAATTCTACCGAATCCAGATGGGCTCCTTGCCCACCGAGAGTCAAAGCTGGCTCAGGTTTTCTTCACTCTGTCTGGAGGGGAAACGGAAAATCGATTCCAGTCTTAGCTGTCACCCTTGAGCGTGGTCCAAGGTGTGAGTTCATCAGCAAGCAGTCGGGCTGGGATTCATCCTCAGTGAAGCTTTTGTTCTTATTCTACTTTTTCCCCCTTGGTGGTTTCCTCTCAACATGTATCAATATGTTGACTCATGCTTGTCTTAGAGATAAGCAACTGTTTGTTCAGAGAGACACCCGTATGATGTATCTGTTGACGGGCTAGACCATCTGAGGCGGATGGGGGTGGGTGGAGTGGAGGTGGTTGAATACTTGCATGCTCCCACACTTTTATTCCCAATACATACAACCAGTATGTCAGGAAAATATTTCCATGCTGGCTTTCTTCTGGTCTTCCGGAGTGTGCCAGGAGTAGAGTCTGGAATTCATTTTTGGATTGTAACTCCCTAGGTGGTTGGAAGATTTTTGACCCAAAAAAAGAGGGTGGGTTTTCCTACCTTGCCCTTCCCCCCCTCAAGCTGAGGTGACAAGATCACTAAACTGCACATTCCAGGTTTTTGAGGATGTGCAATGGGACCCCTTCTTTGGTGAGTCCGCTTTCTGCCCAGTGGGGTGATGGACCATCTCGGACTTTGGGTACTCATTGTGACAGTCCCCACATCCGGTCTCTTCAAAGGGACTCTTCTCTTCCCAAATTCAAACACAGTAAAACACAGGAATAAATACTGAACATACTGAGTCAAACGTCGCATGGATGGTGGGAGGAATACTGCAGTCAAGATAGCAGGACCCTGTACTTTCTCAGGAGCAAATGCTGTGCCTGGATCAGCATACAGGTCTAAAACTGACAGGGAAGGAAAAGTACTGGGACTCTTTTTAGTGGGTATATTCCAGTTTTGGGGCAAATACCTGATCATGATCCGGCTTGCCATCCACCCCAAGAGAGCTGCTTGCTTTGAATCTCCCATGGGAGTTAGCTTCCTGGAGGTGTTATGTTCTCCAAATGTTGGATTATAACAGCTTTTGGTCTGATCCAATGGCTGAAACAATGGCTGACAGTTGGATTCCAAAGGATCTCCTATATGGAGAATTAGTGCAGGGAAAGTGCCCCAGAGGGAGACCACAGCTGTGATACAAGGAGATCTGCAAGCAGGATATGAAGGCATTAGGAATGGACCTCAATAGATGGGAAACTTTGACATCTGAGCATTCAGCCTGGAGGCAGGTGGTACAGCATGGCCTCTCCCAATTTGAAGAGACCCTTACCCAGCAGGCCGAGGCCAAGAGGCAGTCCCGAAAGCAGCAAAATCAGGGAGCTGGACAGAGGACAGATTGTATTTGTCTTCAGTGTGGAAGGGATGGTCACTCTCGAATTGGCCTTCTCCGCCACACTAGATGCTCTTCCAAGACCTTTATTCAGAGCACGTTCCCCTAGTCTCTCGAGACTGAAGGATGCCTACAAGAAGGTCTGATCCAGCAAGGTTGCTCTTCTGTGAAATAACTTATCATTGGAAGTCTTTTCACCCCTGGCATTTTCTGTGGCACAAGTGGTTGTCTGGATAGCTCAGTGAGTTGACTATGGGAGTTCAGTTCCTGCCATGCCTCCCAGAAAGAGCCAGACTGGGTAGCCTTGGACAAGCTGCACGGCCCCAGAAGAAGGGAACAGTAATCTATTTCTGAGTATGCCTAGAAAACCCTGGAAGGGTCGCCATAATTTGGAACTGATCTGATGGCACATAATTATTTCTTAAGAGATTGATCATGTCATAGGTAGGACTGTGCACTGATTTCGACAAGTCCCTAATAACTAAATGAATTGGACCAATTCGTACCAGTTTGTGTAAGGTCTGGCCTGAAGATGGATGACCGAAGTCAACTCTGGAGTGAATATGGATTTGAAAATTCATGTATATCTGAAGCATAGATCAAATTGGGTGCGACATAAATGGCAACACACTTTTTTTAAAAAATTGGAATTTAAAGGTGCTTGATCTGCAAGCCCTGAAAATATCAGTTGGAAATCTGGCAGTTTTATTCTTATCAGGGCCAGTCGTGTTTCTGGATTTCACATCCATTGGTGCAAAAACCGAAAAACGAGAGCCGTTTTGGTTTCCCGGGGCAAGTCCACGGGAGGTGTACAAATCAATTCAGCTCCAGGGTTCAAATCAAATCAGATAGAGCCTAAATCATTCTGGGCTAAGTCAGGATACATTCCAAAATCCTGAAATGGCCTCCAGGTCAAGTCAGTGGATCTGTGCGCAGCCCTAATAGCTGATGTCAAAACGGACATTGTTCTCATTTCTGGACCGGTCTCCCCAACAGTCCAGAATTATATGTGTGCTGCAGAGTCAAAATCGCTAGTGTGGTGTCATGGGTAGAGTGAAGGACTAGGACGCAGGATGGTTGGGTTTGAATCCCCACTCTTCCATGGAAATTGCCTGGGGTGTAGAACTGGTAAAACCACTCCTTAATTATCTGACTTACCTTGAAAGCCCTCTTAGGGTCGTTATAAGTCAGTTCCGACTTGATTAAGAACAACAACAACAGAGCCAGGATCAAGGTGTGGCGGGAGGCCCAGGAGAAAGAGGGAATGTTCAGAGGCCACTGCGCGTGTACTCCTGGTTTGGCCTCCCCAGCTGCTGTCTGCTGCTAGTTCCTGCTTGTTCCCATCAGCCGATGTAAACAAAGAGCAGTGCATTTCTTCTGATGCGTGCGGGTGGCGTGGATGGGAAGACATTACTGGAGTGTGGGAACGGTCGGTTAAGCGAGGGAACGAAAGGCCTCTGCGAACGTCTCTCTCTCTCTTTTACTGAAACCTCCCAGGGACTGGCTCCCAATGCCCTCGGTTGCATTGCATCGGTAGGGAACTGGCACGCAGCACAGAAAGGCTTGGTTCAAGCTCAATTCAGAGGCCTCTTGCATTGCGCTAAAAGTTTCCTCCAATGGCACTTCCCAGTCAGAGACCTGCATCTGGAGTGGGATGGCCAGGGCAGAACCCTGGACAGGGCTCTGTGGTTTGCTGGGAATTATGAAACTGGGAGTCAACGCCAAAGAAAAAAAATAGGGGAGATGATGGAGGGCCATCCATGGATGCCAGTCTATGCCTATGTATAGTCTATGCCAGTGGCTATGGGTCACCTCTTGTAACATAGGCAACATACCTCTGTACACCTGTGGCAAGGGAACACCATTATTCAGGGATTCCTTTAGTCCCCACCTGTTTCTGGCAAATGTCACTACATCTTGTGGCAGCGAGTTCCAATGTTCAACAACACACAGTGCAAGGAAGTAGTTACATTATATAGTCACACATTTAGCACAGAGGTCAGTGGGCTTTGCCTCCAGGGTTTGTGGTTCTCACTCTGGCTGAGCTGGAAGTCCAGGGAAATCCCCTATGGGGAACAACATTGTGCGTTCTTGGAAAACCAGCCCAAGGAGTATGGGCCTCATTGGGGCATGATGGAATTTCTGCCTCCTGACCCATATTCCCCTGGCTGTCAGCCTTCAGGCTGGATACGCTCCTTTCAGCCCTTTTGAAGGCATAAAGTACTAAGAGAGAGAGAGTGTGTGTGTGTATGCCTGTGTAATTAAATGCACATACTCAATTAATTCTTTGCAATGCAAAGTGGCTGTGCACCAGTTGATTTCAATTTTATGAGAAGTGCACTGGCTGCCCTTGCAGGGTTGCGTTGGTTTCCGTTGGTTGGGTCGCGTCCTCACACCATCTGCCTCTTGTGTTCCTCCTACCCATCTCTTGGCTCCACGTTCACTCTCTTCCTTCCTGGTGCTGACCCTTCTGTTCCACCTCTTTCCACCCTTTACCTTGTAGCCCTCTTTCCCCATAGAATGCAGGCGTAGAACCCTTTGCATTACAAGTACCAGTCTGTTTGGTGGGTGGGTTAGCCATGAGTCCTGCATCAGAGCAGACGGTCCTCTCTTTGAGGCACCCTGCCATGGGGTAGATTTCCGTGCAAAAGAATCCTCGGTTCCAGGGAGAGTCAAATTGTGGTCCACCAGACAGTGCTGGACTACAACCGCCATCATTCCACACCCCTGGCAGTGCTATCCAGCCTTGTCAGGAGCTGCGATCTGACAACATCTGATACAATGCATTTCCAAATCAAGATAAAGAACCCATGAAATGGAGGGCAAGGTAGAGACCTTGAGCTTCCCGATTCATCGCCCGTTCCTGGACAAAAGATTGAGCAGATGTTCCCTGACAGCATCTTCTCCACTAAGAGTGAGACATGTGGACATTTCTATACCAAAAAAATAGTAATAATAAATACTAAATTTGCATTGATACAT